TAGGATGAGATTATCACTCGGCCCGCCGTATTATGTTGCAAGCATAAAGTGAGAGGAATCAGTGAGTGAGAATCAATTTAATTACGACAGATGAGGCATGAGGCACGGGTCCCCAACTAAGTGTGATGTATTCAACACTGGGGAGGGGAGGGGGGCGATGGCAAACATGTATGAGGGGACGGGAACTAAGCTAGACTGGACTGATTAGAGGATACTTATCCAGGATGGCTTTGTTTACGGTGGATATCGCCCTGGATACTATGTGGTAAAATTACTCAACGGAGGCAAGAAAAGCTCGGTTGGTTCCATCAATTTGGAACGATCTATTAAGCGCGAGCTACCCAAATATTCACCTTATAATTTCGTGCACGTCAACTGATGACAACCCCCGTGGTTCCAAAGTTTCATTATTTGTTTACGGTGTTCCTCAACCGGATGTGTTGTGCAGAGGCTGTCTGGCGTTCGGTGGAGCCTGCAGTGAACAAACAGAGAGAACATTATTCGCAGAATCCAAGGAACTTTGTGACTCCGAGGCATTGCTGGCCCAACCAAAACCAAAGTCAACAAGTCTTGCTTCACTTTCAGTTGATGTACGCTGAGTTGTTATTTCATGTGCATCGAACAGGCGATGCCGTTTGCAGATGTATGGTGATGTGGCTGCATTGAATTCTCACTACGCTCATCACATTTTGCCCGCCGCTCATCTTCTTTCAAAAGCTCACTGCCACGAATTTGAACGAAACTTTGAGTTACATGCACACAAAGGGAATGTACAAAAATCTGGTGCTCTACGTGGAAGCATGCGAATCCGGTTCTATGTTCGAGGATATTCTGCCATCGAATATCGGAAGTAAGCCTTCTGTCAGATTTCATTTTGACATTTTCATATTTTACAAGTGTCCCAAATCAGCTTGTTATGAATTGTTGAAAATCCTGCATTAGCAGGCTGTAATGTGTGTTGACTCCAAACCAACCTGTAACGATGCATGTGCAGATGGTCCTTGTGAGAATTTTGAATCTATTAGAGATATTGGGGGTGTAATCTACTAGAACAAAATGTTCGCTGTGATCTAAACGTCCGTTTCGTCTCAGACGAACTGTCCCAAAATCGAGCAACAAATAGGACATCCTCGAGAAATACACTCATTTGCAAATCAATTTGGTTATCACGAGAGACTCAACTGAATCTCTCGTTTATGATATTCTACAACTGAATGTGTTGCACGCAGGCCACTGCCTCATGTTTCAGTTGTCACGATATTCGAGATATCGCAGTATATTTTCGTGGAGAAAACTACTCACAAGGTTGTCGAAGAGTTTTCAGCAACCTTGTGAATAGTTTCCTTCATGAAAATAGGACACCTCTGTA